GTGTGGCAACCCAGCGCCGCGCCCCGGAATGGCCCTTTCTCGGCCCCTCTCCTCCGGAAAGAACAGAAAAGAAACTCCTGGAAAGGCACAGACTGAATGCAGGGCGTCAACTCAGTCCCATTCCACCAAAGTCGAACACAGCCCCCTCCCCACCCCCACCTCGGGAGAGAGGGACGTCCTTGAGCACCCCCCCCTTTCGCCACCACTTGCCTCTCCTCTCCCAGAAGAACCCCCCTTCTCCATGCAACCCCGCCGCGTCCCCTGCACGTACGCAGCCCCCCAACTTTGCTGTCCGCCCATCGCGCCCTGCAGCCAGAAAGAAAATAGCTTTGAGGAAAAAGAGAGGGTGAAAGATGGAGCCGGGAAGGGTGCTGGGCAGCCGCGGGCGACCCGCCTCAGTGGCCCCAATTGCTGAAGCCGATCTCCTGCTTGTATCTGTTGGTGAGGATGTTGGCTTTGCGCGTGAGTTTGGAGAGCACAGTGTGCAGCCCGCGCAGGTGGTAGTGGAACTGCTGTTCCAGGTCCTCCTCGCCGGCGTCCGCGCCCTCCAGGTGGCTCAGGTCCACCAGGATGTCCTTGGACTTCCAGGAGCTTCCCTCCTCGCTCCCCACTGGCGGCGGCGGCTGGTGCAGGACCCCCCACTCGATGTCGTTACGGATGGACTTGAGCAGCACGTAGTGGCTGTACATGTCCCGGGAGGGCGCGAAAAAGCTGCCGTTGGCGCTGCTCTGGCCGGGGGCCGGGGGCGTGCGCTCCTGCAGGCAGTCACCACTGCCGCCTACCTCCACGCCGACGTCGTTGTCCAGCCCAGGCTCGGCCAGGGGCACGTCGCGCAGCAGGCTGGGCACCATCACCGTCTGGTCCATGTTGTTCACGGCGCCAATGAAGCGATTCATGGCGTTAAAGAGCGAGTGCTTCTGGTTGTAGGTGTCGCAAATTTGCATCATGGTGGCCGCGCGGGCGCCGAAGCCCTAGGACGCAGGGGCACGGGATGGCCGGCTGGGGCGAGGGGCTGCCCGCCTTCACGCGCTCTCTGAAGCCCTTGCCGGGGGCCTGCTTCAGCTGGTGCCACGGGATTCCCGGCTCCTCCTCCGCCCTCTCCAACTCTCGTCTCGCTCGCAGCCCGGCCCTGCGAGATGCGCGACTTCTCCTGGCTTGGGCGTCCGGAAGCTCGCGATAACCGCGCGTTGGTATGGGTCGCGCCCTGGCCTGGTTGGGAAACGGGGACGAAAAAGAAAGATTATTCACCCTGCTAGGGTGCCCGGCGCCCCCGGCTGCGCACACCTCCCTCCCCAGTTACTGCTCGCCTGGGACGGCGCCCGGGTGGCTCCCTGCAGCCGGGCGGTCCCACTTCCTCTCCCGCCCAGCGCGGCGGAGAGAAGGAAGGGGTGCTCCCCACTCCCGTCCCCCTCGGAAAAGCCTGAGTCCAAGCACCCACGCTGACGGGGCAGAGATGGGGCTGGGGCACGCACCTCCTCTGGCGCCTCGAAATCTTCTGCTGCTAGGTAGCTCAATGTTCCCGCTGCTGGCGGCTGCTGCCTGCGGGCGCTGCTGTGGTCAGTGGCCGGACTGTGACTGCGGGTGGTGGCGGCGGCGGCGTCGGCCCTCTACCCATCCCAGGTGCTCAATTTATAGAGTCCCGGAAATGTGTCGCCGGACCTCAGGGCCACCCCCGGTGTCTCCTCCTCCCGCCTCCCCGGCAGCGCCGAGATAAAAGGCCCGAGCTCGGGTTGACCGCGAGTAACTCTCAGCCCTTTCTACAGTGGGGGCGGCGCACGCCGGGCCAGCTCCGCCTCTCGCCTGATACCCGGGTGTAGGGAGGGCGCAGGGCAGGCAAGGGCAGAGGAGGGAGCGAGCAGCCGCACCCCGCCGGCGCCGAGCGCAGAGCAGGCCAGCTTGGGAGGGCCAGGCACTGCGCGGGTTAAAAAGGCCCCGGCATCCGGACCGACAGGAGGGCGGGCTGGAGTGCGGGGGGTTGGGTGGGCGTTGCTCACGCTCCCTGGGTGGGATGACAGAATTGCCCGCACCCGGGTTGCAAAGTGAGGCCCTCAACCCAGCATCTATACTGGCGGTGGCCCGGAAACTACCGATCCGGTTTATTATTAGCCGTCGGGGCAGAGGGAACCTCAGCAGGCGCAACTCCTTCCAGAGACTCTTACGTAAGAAGGGTGACTGGGCATGCCGGATGCACGTGGACGCGTGGTGCTCCCGCGGTGGCCCTGGCCTTGGCCAGCTGCTTGGGGGAGGGGAGCCTCGGAGGCTTTTGCCTCCCTCCTGGCGAGGTCTTTCCCAATCTTTCCTGTAACAGCCTTTGCCAGGGATGAAGAGGGACCCATCATCGTATCTGCACATTTTCCCAAGACATCAGATGTGACAATGGGGAGAAGTAGCCCAAATTCCTGACTTTTGTCCAAGTCCCGCTACTCAGAGATCCAGGCCCTGTGGCCTTTTGGCTGCCAAAGGGCCAAGAGAGAGTGACAGTAGGTAGGTCAGGTGTTGGGTGTCTTTCATCATTTGACAGAAAAGTGGGGAGGTGTCCAGTATTTTCTTTTTTTTTGAGAAGGGAGTTTGAAATGTTCCTTTCCAAAAATAGTTCTTAAAACGCAAGGTCATTTTTAAAAAAACTAAACTACCTACCAAATCACTGTATTTAATTTTTAAGAGGCTTGCACCTTAAATTTCACTTTGGGACTCCAAACTCAGCCCGTTTTCATTTTTATTTTACCATCTCACTTCCCATGCCATGTCCTTCATCTGCCAGTGTTCTCCAGCAATAGTACAGATAATTCAACAGTTCCTAATTTTGAATCTCTTTTTTCTAAAACCTTTCAGGGGTGTTTTTAAGTACACTGTTTTGTCACAGGACAAAAAGTGCCAAAAGGGAGAAGCACATAATAAAGGGGGTTATTTTTTTCTTTCTTTCACCTTAATGATCTATATTTAATTTTTTTTCTCACAGCAAACCATCTTCCTAATTGCCTTTCGAATGTAAATCTGACTTGGTGCCATAAGGGCTGGGCAGGAGTCTGTGACTCCAGGAGACAGAGCCCAGCCTGGGGAGCCCCCTTCCCTGGGCATATTAGCTCTGCCAGATCACAGCCCTTGTTTTCTTACCTATAAAATTGGGATGTTACCTGCTCAACCTATCAGGGTCTTTGGGAGGATCAATGGAAAGAAAATGTAGCAGAAAAAAGCATTATATAAATTTCGAGCATTAAAATAATCTCACCCCCCTCTTTGCACACGTGGAGACTTAGAAACTCTTCCAGCCCCAGTTTCCTGATCAACAAAATGGAGTTACTCTCATGGGTTGTGACAAATTTTGGTCAAGGGTGATTAGATAATAGATGTAAAAATTATTATGTAAATTGTAAACTTTATAAAGATAAATTGTACTTAGTATAAGACCTCATCATAGCCTAGAGGTGTTATGTGAAGATTCAGAAACCTTAAAAATGTGGAAATGGTCTATGATGAGCTACAGACACTTCCCCCGGTGCTTAAGCAGCCAGAAAGTACAAAGTAGTCCAGCATGATTTTCAGCCCTTATGTGCAATGACATACAAAAAGCATTGCAAGAGGTAATCTCGAAAAAAACACACATCCAGTTTCCAGTAACTGATTCCCTATAAATTAAAACACATTTTGTCCCCCAAGACAGACCCTCTTGATATTTTAAGTACGTATGCCTCTGGATGAAAACTTGTATTCAGATTTGAGTTATTAAATGCCAGGATCCTGCTTTCTTCCTTTCCAGTTCCAGCAAAAGTGCGATAATAACTCGCAGAAAACGCAAATCCAAGTAATCTAGCAAAGGGACCCCAGCAAAAAAAAAAAAAAAAGCCCAGCCTGGGAGAAAGCTCCTAATGCCTTCTCTTTTCGGCCTCCACTCCTCTGATCTGTTTCCTTCCTTCCTCTCGTGTCGAGGTCACTCTCCACCCCCCAGTTTCTTGATTCCTGTTCTTTCACATTTCTTAAACACTGTTAAGAGAAAGATGGCTCATGCACCTGCCTGCAAAACTTCCCAAACGGGGTCTCCTTGGCTCCCCTTGGGCCAGAACAACAACTCAAGCCGACCGGGGTAACTCCGGAACGGAAAGGTCGGGGTCCAGAGTTCCCGGCCCTTGGAATCACCCCACCACCGCCCCTCCTGCTTCAGCCAATCAGGTGCCGTCACAGAATATTATGCAAATAAGCCTTCGCGCCCTAGCCAGTCAGGAGCCACGGCCCCCTCCCCTCAGCGTCCTCTTTCACCCGAGCCGCGCCGAAGTGGCGGCCGCGTCTGTGGCAACCGGCGCGCAGCCAATTTTCCCCTCCTCACGCGGAGGAAAAAAAATGAAAATGGTTCCTTGGGGTGACTTGGAAGGGAAGCGGGCGGGCGTAGCCCGGCGGGAGGCAAACAGCCTCTCCAGTTGCCCCAGGCACTTTCCCAGTCACGCTCTGGAACAGGCTGGAGATGCTGAGCGACCTACCCAGGCCTCATTTTGCATCTGGAAAACAAGGGAAGTCCGGTGAGCAAACAACTTTTGAGTACTTTGTGTAGGCCAGCAGGCTCAAGGCCTCTAGTCTCTGCTTCCTTCCCGATACGCTCAATTCTCGGTAAAAGCCTTGTCTGGGGTCTGGACAGCAACCCCACTTCTTGGTCCACAGCTCCAGCTCTTGGTTCAGATTCTTAATTCCCACATTACGTTCTAATTTCACCAACCAGAAAATCATGTTTTGCTGGTCCATCTCCCAAAAAGTGTTCGCAGATGACCCCCTCTGGGTCCTTTGGATAGTTTGGGGAAATATGGCATTTAAAATAACCAGAAATTTATAAACAAAATACAGAACAACAGTGAACTAGTCAAAGAAGGCAGATTGGAGAAATAAGAGGTTTGGCCTAGAGCAGGAGGGATAGGTGGCATCATTGTAAAGCTAGAAACCAGCCCAACTCAAGAGAGTGGAGATGCTTGATTACTTTGAGGCAGAATTTAGAAGGAGCCAATTCATGCAAAAGGTCCTAGGAATATGACAGGCTGTCTTATTAAAGGCCATGTAGTCCAACCATCCACTTTTGCTGAAATTGCTCACAACATCCCCACCAAGTGGTCACCCTGGCCTACATTCTTGTGATTTCCACCTTCTAGATTAGTTCTTCCCACCTTGGAGCCTTCCAGGAGGCCATGCAGCATACCATCAGATATTTGAAAGTAGACAAGATCTCCAATCCACTGCTCTTCAAGCCAGCTATCCCCAGTTTCTGCAACACTGGTCTTTGTGGTCTCTCTTGAGTTGCTCATCCATCCTGGTCACCATCTTTGGAAGTAGTTCCACTTTGCTTCTAAGTGTGGCGCCTGGAATTCATTCAAGCACCATCTTTTCTAGGACAAAATGGTGTGGCACGACCACCTATTTTACTGTAAATGGTACCTTTTCTAGGTCATATTTATTGCACACAGTGCTTGGGATTTAGACATGTTAACACATTTTAACTTCACAACAACCCTGAGAAGAAAGTTAGGGATCACAGAGTTCAAGTGGCCATAGTAGCAGAATTGGGGTTTGATCTAGTTTTCTGATACCAGAACCAATGTTCCTTCTACTGCCTAACAAATATCTACTTCTTACAATGCTGCCTACCATTTAAATGGACTTCTTTTAACAGCTATATCCATGTGAAGCAGGTGAACAAAATTCTGTGTGTCCCATTCTTGAGCAGGGCAAAACTTCTTGGACCAAAGTACAGAACTTTATATTTATCCTTCTTGAACTTTGTCTCATTAGATTTAGCCCATTACTCCAGCCTGTTTCAGTATTTTAGGTCTTAATTCTGTGCTCTAATGTGTTTGGATCTTACCCATACATTTGATAACTCTTCTATTTATTCATCCAAGTTATTGATAATTTACAGGCAGCACTGGCTGGGTAAAAGGCAAAGTACCTTAGAACATTTGGAAAGCCTCTTCAGCTTGATATCAGTCCATTAATTAACATCTTTTATTAATTAATTAATTAGCACCTTTTGGTGTATGTTGTTCCAGCCAGCTATGAATCATGTTAATTGTACAATCATCTAGCCTATAATTTTCTCCTTGACCACAGAATATTATGAGAAACCTTGCTAAATGCCTTGCCAAAGTCCCAAGTTAATGGCCAGTTTCTCTTTTATGGAATCAGGAAGCAGGGCATTTTTATCATCTGCCATGGAGGAACCACTGTCACATGATACAAAAATGCAGAAACAGCATCATAATAGTCTGAGTTAAAATTGGGGGAGGGTATTTAATCTCAAAGTAATCATTATTATAAGAAACACCCTCATGAAGATTTAGTTGGGAGAAGATAGGAAGATGCTAAAACCTGGGAACATGGCAGTATTGAGTCTGCTGGCCTCACACCTTAAGCTTTTAAGTTCTGGCATGTCTGAATGTGTTGGAAGTAGCATTTTGTCACAATCTAATTTTTAAAAATGCCTCTTTAGCCTTGCATCTAGGAGGAATAGGGCATGGGAAAAACTGAGACTACTAAAGACTACCTTTTGTTGTTCTCAGCATTTCTGCATCTTTGGGAACTCTAAACTATATGGGAAATGATGCGCTTAATTTGAGTGTGGTAGATAAGGAAGGTGCAAGACTCATTATAGCTTTGCTTACCTACCATGTAGGAACTTCTCAGTCTGATTATTCCCATAGCTCCTAGAATTCCAGGACCTTCTTGCAACATCAGCATAGAAGCCATGATGAAAGTGTTCTTCCTTCATTCTCTTCTGTTTAAGTGTATCAATTTGGTTAGTTTCAATTCTGAAATTAGATTCAAAGTTTACAAATTATGGTACTAAATTAACATTGGGAGAG